TTGTTACTAAGGACGGTCCGTTTTGTTTCATGTGTCTTCTTCTTCTTCTTCTTCTTCTTCTTTTCAATCGTTTTGTTGACCATTTTCCTAAACAGAAGCTCGAACTCTAACCTGTATCTTGAGGGTGAGAGTGAGGGTGAGGGTGAGAGTGAGAGTGAGAGTGAGGGTGAGAGTGATGGTGAGGGTGAGAATGAGGGTGAGAGTGAGAGTAAGAGTGATGGTGAGGGTGAGAATGAGGGTGAGGGTGAGAGTGAGGGTGACGGTAAGGCTGAAGCTGAGGACGAAAAAGTAGGCGTATTCTCAAGACAGGAAACATTACTATAATAATTACAAGGAGTTGCTCATTATTTCTGAACTACTATTCCTTTTTTCTATTTGTCTAAGTTATTTGATTGAATCACTATTATTCTCTAATACTAGCATATTAATATAATTAGTGTTTATTTCGCATGCACACTTCGAGCTTCTGTTTCAGGAAAAGCTTTTGTTGTTTTATTACAAAATTTTCGACTGATTTTCGCGTCGACCAATTTTCGTATCGACCAATTTTCGTTCGACCATTTTTCGTTCGACCATTTTTCGTTCGACCAATTTTCGTAGACCCTTTCCTTACATTCATTATGTAGTGTACAATTCACGAAATGAATATGAATCATTTGCTCAAATTAACGTCTTGAAAAAAGTGAACTAATTAAGGGGAATAGAAAGAATAGATAGAAAGGAAGAGAACGAGAGTAATTCCTCTGCGATGTACAGAACGAAAAAAATTGCGGCAAACAGAACGCGACAAAATGTTATGCGACGAAGTGTCGTGCGATGAAATGCACTAGCGCCGAAAACATCATTTATATCATGTCTTTCAGAAATTGCAACGTACTTATCTCGTAACTGCGATCACACTGTGACCAGTAATTGCGAAAAATTACGACACACTTACGAGCCACAGTGCGATCGTAGTTGGGTCGTAATCGAACGCATGAGATAACAGTACATCCTTGTCAGCAATAAATTTCTTCTGAATATTTAACAAAAAAAACTGAGATACTTCAATTTAGCGTAGTCAATCAGATGGGAAATTAGTAGAATTAGTATTGATTGCTGAGAAAAATATTCACTGTTATTCATTTTAGTCAATGAAATCGTTGTCGACGAACATACAAATTTCATGTGTTTAGGGAATCTTTTCAATTGCATTTTTATGAAGAGAAGCACTGTGTTTTCTGCGAGTGATTCTGTGAATTAAATGATCTGCGTTGAATTAAGGTCTTTCCCATCCTTACAAGAGTTTTTCTACTTGAAATGGTCAATTTGGATTGAATTTTTTTAGAAATAAGTAACCCTAGTGTGAAATACTTCTAATGAAAATTTCAGTCCAATATGACAAATTAGAGCGAACTTGGAACCTATTTATGGTTCATTTATGATCTTGAGGAGAATCCTAATAATTTCGTCACTACAATAGGTGCAGAGCTTATGTTAGTTTCAAATTCAAGCGAATATCTATGGCTGAGTTTTTGTCCGAACAGAACTTTAAAATTTGCTTCCATTCATCTTTTTTTTTTTGGAATTATTTTAGTACATGGAGTGTCAAAGTAAGCAAAAAACAATGTCACTTCACAATACTAAAGTTCGCTTTTGTCACTACAGAAACGAACTATAAAAAATTTAATCGTACAAAACCTTATTCTCGTGTGAACTTTTTAAACAAAAAACGAATAATAGTTACATCTTGAACTGGATGAGCGATATTTCAATTTTTCTGATTAAACCTCATATTCTGAGGAAAACGGTAAATAAATTTAGACATGGATTTTTTATAAATTGAGGAGATAAAGCAGTAGGAAATAAATAAGAAAAAAATGAATAATTAACTGCCGTAAATAACATTTTTTTTTTCAAAACATAAAATAAAATATTATTCGAGCTTTCATGCTCTATTCTAAGCACATCGTCAGGTATGCTACAGTGAAATATTATATGCAGAGAAAAAAGTTACAGTTTATAAATTATATTTTTAAAATTCTTCATCTTTAGTATTTATATTTTAATAAGAATGAGTTTGTTATTGATGTTTTGTTCTTATTGGTTGTTGGTCGTTTCTATTGATGCCACATGAATTGCATGAATTTTTTCAGTATGTTACTGTTGATTATTATCAATTTTGTTATTATTATCATTATTATCCATTTTATTGTTATTCTTATTCTTATTAATTTTATTATTCTTATCATTATTGTTTTTGTCATTTATAATTTAGTAAGTCAAAATTACTTGATTGTTTCTATTTGAATAAATGTTTAAGTTAATAAGTGTTTATAGAGGAGAAAGATGATTACTTAGTTATTTTTTCGGATGATTTTATAGGTATGCATATGTTATTTTTGTTCTCATTATTGTTTGTTTCGTTTTATCATGATTTATTATTAATTTTCTTTTTTCTGCTATTGTGGTTCTTTTTTATTTATAATTATATTTATATTTTTATTGTTTTCTTCTTATTTGTTATTTGTTATTTTATTCGATTACTTTTTATTATTATTATTCTGATATATTATTATTCCTTTTAAGTATTTATATGCATTTCTCTTTTTATTAATTGTTGTCCTTATTTTTCTTTTTATATTTCTTATTGTCATTTTTATGTTTTCATTTATTGTTCTCTTATTATTTTATTTTCGGGGTAGTGTGGGTGTGGCTAGTGTGGTGTAGGTGTGTTGTGACAATAAAGTACACCCAGATACCCGCACTCGCAGTTACAGTTGCACCTACACTCTTATTGATCATACACTATATAAATAATTAATAAAAGAATTAATTCAAACAATAATATTGAACGATGAAAATGAATTTTTTTCTAAATGAAAAGCAAATTAGTGAAATTAGAAAACAATATGAAAAATTTCATAATGGGTTTAAGATTAATTCTTCATAATCAACAACGAATATTAAATAAATACAAATTTGAAAAAATGCTTCTACAAGAATTTTTACTAACAATAGATCGTTTATTAAAACAGCAACCAAATGAATTACCAATATTGTCATATCAACAATTATTAAATCAACAATTAGTTGGTTTTTATTTATCAACAAACCTTTTTCATTTATATGAACAATTAAACTTAGAAAAACATATTCATCGAAATTTAAATATAATAAACATATTTCAACGACAAACGATTGATTTAATTGAAAATTATTTATTAAATAAAGAAAAAATTTTAGCGTATGGATTTATTAGATAAAATTCAACAACCATAAACAAATAAATATCAATTAGCTAAACAAAAAGATGAAAATACAATATTTGCATTAGATAATTAACAAATTGAAATTATGTTAAAAAAATATAAAGTTAAAACCATTTGAATTTATTTGTTAGATAATCGACTCAAATTTCGTCCTGATAAATTCAAAATTTGACTAAATCACAGTATTTTCCAAACAACATACATCGGATTGATTTCATATTTACAGAAAATAATTTTTTTCTTTATTGAGCAATAGTTTTTAAAAATTTTCTATTTTTTTTTGTTGAAGTAGTTTGTACTATCCATGAAATGATTCGAACTGAAAACGAAATAGTTTATTAAAGAAATGATAAAGAATAAATATGTATGTAATCATGATTGTTCAGTAATATTGACAGAGTACAAGAAAAAGATTTATTTAGAAAATCAAAGAATTTAAATATGATCAATAAATTTTGTTCAACAATTTTTGGAACATTTTAGCAGAACTAAAGAATTCCTCATAGTTCATATTTATAAGAGAACTGTCAGGAGAAATACTACACCGATGTATGAAAACACTGACTTAGATATAGACAATAGGTATTTATGCATTATGAAAAAAAAATAATATTACAGCTTCTTCAATTGATTCTCACCATTGCTGACAAAAAATTTCGCAGAATGCTTGATACTAAGGTATGTATCGACAGGTAAAATTTCAGACCAAATGACAAAGAAGATTCATCGGATAGCTTAAGTACGTTGAAAAAATTCTTTTTTCGCTGAAAAGATAAAAAAAAATAGTTCTCTTTATAATTCATGAATAACTAATTTTTATATCTAAGTCAGGTTCGATAGTTCGTAGTATTTTTTTCCTAACATTCTTTTAACATTGGTTACAAATTTGGAGATCCTTTTGAAAAAATTTAGCGAAAAATATTCAAAAATTTTCTCGAGTAATAATTTGCTAAGTTATCTATTAATTAAAAGTAAATTTAATCACAAATTGAATTCGACATTGAACATGTTTAAGTTTTGATCGAAGAGTACTTTTCGTCTTAACATCAATTTTATATTAAAAAAAAATTTTAAATAAATTACAAACGATTTTTATATCAAAATTTCATTCTAAAATAAGATTAAAATAGCTGTTATTTATACATTCGCTATCGTATGAGAAAATAAATTTCTTCGATATTGTTTATTGATCAAAATTTATGTCTTCATGATAGAATTTATAGTTAAAGCATTAAATAATAATTCATTCTAATTTATGGTTATCTTACAATCACTTTATAGTTATCGAGTTTGCTCCTTTTAAATAACACAGAAAATCGACGAATATAATGTTAATAATATTTGATGATTTACATTGTTTGAGTTTGCTTTTGATAAAGGACATCTTGTCAATTTTCTCGATTTCTATTGAAAACAGACTTTCAAAGTGAGCTCGGCCATTTATGAATGATTGTTCTTATCACATTATTATAGAGAACAATCTCATCTTTAGTTCTATGCAAAAAACTCAATAATATTACATATACAATAGAGAAAACTATTGATTGATACAAAAAAACGTCAATATGCTTCGTTCTAATCTAATATTCATGTCTCTAAAAAATCGACTCTTAACTGATAAATTCGAAGTTTTACAAAAAATGTTGAATCCATATTCAGAAAGAATACAAAATTCTGACTCTAACCCAATGCTTTTAAATTTTTGCAGTCCTTTAAGAGAATGAATATTTTGTCAAATTACTTTTCGATCACCAATTAGTAGATTTTAATAAAAAAAAATTTCATAAACAAAAACAAATCATCTTTACAAACATTTGATTTATTAAACATAGGACATGACCAATCAATTTAAATCGATATCTTCAACTATTGATGAAAATAAAAGATATAGTTTAAGTTTAAGTAATACTATTCAACGACATATCATTACTGAACCTATACAAAATGAAATTACTTCTATTGGTAAAAATTTTCAATTTTATTATTTTAGATAAATCATGTTCAGGCTATATTAAATAATGATGAACTTTTATTTACAAAATTCAGCAATAAATTTAAATAAGAATAATGATAATAAAATAGAACATTTATTAGAAACAATTAATCGTAGTCATAATAGTTTGATTATTAATACGAAACTTCATCTTAAACATATTGAGAATATTCAACAATTTACACGATTAATAACAACAGTTATGACTAATACAGAAAATATCTAATTAGTTAAAGATTATTATACTTTTAAAGAATAGAAATCTCATAGGAATATTTGATTTTATTGAATTAACTTTTTATTAAAATTAACACCAAGAAAGTCAATATATTGTTGAAAACAATCTTTTTACATTGTTACTATTGAGTTTCTCATTGATATTATCATAATTTTTTTAATTTCAATTTTTAATTGAACCGAATTACAGTTACGAGCGTAGAACCGTTTGATGGAATTCCATACTTTTTTACTCATATTTATGAGATATAGAGAAAAGCTCGAGATTAGAACAATCTTTCAAAGGATTCTGATCTATAAGAAATTTTTACTTGAAATTTGGTTTATAAGTAGGTCTCATGATTCTCAGTATATTTGAATAGTGACCTATTTGTAAACAAAATTTCAGATTGAGAATTCTTCGTTTAATAGTGCTTCTAAAATCTATTTCTTTGTTGAAAATCAACAGGAAACTCTTGTAATTCTGTAGAAAAAGTCTAATGAACCAGTTTTTTTTGTTTGAAATTATTTAGATTTTAAAAATCCTGTCTATATGCCCAAAGTATGAATAGAAAAGTAATGGAATAACTTCAGTCGAATCCTTTGTCGAAAGTAGACATATTTGAGATGGAATGTTTTCTTTAGACAACAATAATGTTATGGCAAATCATTGTTTATTATAAATCGAGAAAAAAATTCAATAATAAATTTTCTATGATTAGGACTATCAGCCAATGTTCACATGATTCATACAGTTTAGAGAAAGAATTTCTTTATGAAACGTAAGAACTAAAAGGTTAGCTAATTGCAATATAATCTTTTTACAATAGAAATGCACATCGGCAAAAAAAAGTTTAATTCCGACTCTCGAATTGACAACATCGAAATGCACTAGATATATATATATACACTAGAGGATGATTAGGACTAAAATTAATTGAGATCGAAAATTGCTAAGAATGAAGCATCAACTAAGAACAACTATTATCACAATCACTACTCGTCTAAATTACGACAAGAAGTAGATTTGAAAACAACTAGAACAAATACTTATCTTAAGAATAATAAAAACGAAAATTGACTCTCAAACAAGTCAAAACTAAAACAAGATTTGGAATCAATGAATATTACTACTGAAAACATATCAGTTTGATTATGGGGTCTGTTCTTTACTTGATTTATCAAAGCCTTGTGTAGGACTTCAGTTTTTTGAAAAATTTATGTTTTTGAATTTTTTTCTTGAAATTGTTTCTACTTCAAGGTTTCAAGTGCAGTATTTTGTATCAAGAGTTTCGGAGTTTATAAACTTGGTATCTTTAAGATATGAACTTTTCAAAATATTCTTGTATTATTGTCTACACACTTCAAAAAGCGTCTATTTTTTTGAAAATTTTACGACTTACTGCATGTGAGACTTTTAAATAGAGGTAGTCATTTCAAAAAAATAATTCAAAAACATAAATTTTCAAGAAACTTCGAATTCTACGCAGGATTTTGGTAAATATACATATGAAAAATTTCACAGCTCCTCTAAATCTCAATAAGAACTCAAATTCTTTAAGAGTTTTCATTAGAATACAATGTAACATCTATAGGGAAAAAACAATGAATTCGGACGGGGGCAAGAGAGGGGAGGTTCCTTCTCTAGTAAAAAAATGAAGACTTTTGCGTAATAGTTGTTGAAGCTTTCACCGTATTGTTGTAGAGTAATGCCGAAATCAAGTCAGTTCTTCATTTTAATCTTATCTCCGCTCTCGCCTTCATTATTTTGCCATTATAATGAATACTAAGGTTTTCTTTTGTAGAATTACAAAACCATTTTGAAGGGTGTGGATGTGCGGTAAACGAAGAAAAACATCTTACCTCAGTCCGACCGTTACCCACAAGCACTCACGTTCACACTCAAACTAGTATTGCTTTTTATAATTAACATGTTTTCAACTATGAACATGATCATTACTTATTCAATAATATTTGTGAAATATTATTTGATAATTTCGTGAAGTTCCAAAACAAAAAAAAAAATACAAGAAAAGTTTTATTTCCTTTCAACACGTCGGTTGACAAAATTCAATATTTCTGAGACAGTGTGAAGTTTCCAGCGCCCTCTGAAACACATAGTTTACTATTGATTCGTTGAATTATGCGTCTCAGTCATTGCCAGTTACTTACTCAATCTTCTTTTTTGGGCAATAATAAAAAGCTGAAAATGAAATCGAAAATCAAAAACATTGTCATTGGTAATTTACGATTCAAATATGGTTCATATCGATGATAATCAATCATATTTTTTCGATTTGTTTCGGTCTTCGATCTTTTGTCGTGTTTTATTTCTTTGTCACAGTTTACTGTGAGTCATTATTATGACATTGAAATTCTTCCTACCGTTGTCTAAAACTCTCTAGAGCTGATTCATTCTCACGAGACATACAATATAAAAGCAGCAGTATATCTCACATTACTTCATTCATTCTTGTTAAGCATATATTTATTTCTTTTTTTTGTCCACTTACTATTGCACAGTAACAATGCAAATCTTTGTTAAAACTCTTACTGGAAAAACTATCACACTTGAAGTTGAACCAAGTGATACAATTGAAAATGTAAAAGCTAAAATCCAGGACAAGGAAGGTATTCCACCTGATCAGCAACGACTTATCTTTGCTGGCAAACAACTTGAAGATGGTCGTACATTGAGCGACTACAATATTCAAAAAGAAAGTACACTCCATCTTGTTCTTCGATTACGTGGTGGTATGCAAATATTTGTGAAAACACTCACCGG